TTGCCACCTGCAAGCGCTCTTGGCCACGCCCACTTCCCCACTCTGCATGGAAAACAGCTGATCAGCTGCAGCAGGAAGCTTATCCTGCAGTATGGGCTGCACAGATGTGCAGCAGGTGCTACATATTTTAAAATAATTTATTTTAAATAAAAATTCCATGCCCATAGTGCGGCTCATCCTTCAATCAGCCAATTGTGTGTCATGTCCAATCTTTTTTTGAAAAACCGTGATAGAGCAAGCCTGTGATAAACGAACCGCGAAGTAGCGAGGGACTACTGTATATCAATTAAATCTACTTTGGTATTTGTGTGGAGTTTTCAAATTGAAATGCTTAAACTCTTTGTTCAGCTTGTTGGTTTTATTATCTGAGGTGGTGTGTTTGTTGTAGGTTGGAGCAGCCGTACCTGAATGCCAATGCGTCTTTCTTTGAGGCCCTCTCTTGCTGCTCTCGCCTTCAGCGCCTCTGCCTCATCTCTCGTAGTGGCACCTTTGACCCATCGGCCACAGAGAGCTTCATGGAGCGATGCTGCCAAGTCATCATGTGCCACATGTTCATGAATGGCACTTTGGTGACGTGTCGGACTTTGCAGAAAGCTCTGCTCGTCAGGTCAGTGTTATTTCATTTACAGCAGGCAGACTTAAAATATCAGCTTCAATTGATCTCAGATCTGAGCTATGTGTTCTCTTCCTGTTAGGTTTTCAGCCGAGCGTACAGCACTCAGCGTGGTCATCTACCCGTTACAGCACGAAGACCTGCCGTCAGTCATCAGAGGAATCCCAATAACACTGCTGGACCGGATAACTTTATTTCAGAGCCATGTGGCACAACCTCCTCATTTATCACCATTGTGACATCACCTTCACTGTTCTTACTGCTGGAAATAAAATTCACAAATGAAAGAAACTATTTGTCATCAGCTTTCAGATTTACATTAGCAAAGGTTTGACAAACGTCAGCTGTGAATTTTTATATTTTCAAGACAAGAATGAGTTTTAAGGGACATTTCTCCTCTAAGGATTTGATTTGTTTGATATTTCTCATGTGGTGCTACTTATACATCTCAGTCGTGTATTAATGTTGTTTTTATGCCATTCGTAATCTTAAAATAAGTGCCAGAAATGTTTAAAAGGGTGATGATGTTTCAGGACTATCTTTGGTTGTAAATTACAAAAAAAGAGGTTTAATAAACTAATTGCAATATATTTTAATTATTGCCTGTGGACATATTTTCTGTCTGGTAACCGTTTTTAATTATCAACCTCACTAGCATAACGAGCGAGAGAAAGAAATGAAGACATGCAGGTTTGCATGTTGCTTGGATTAGCATAATCCGTGTCAGATGTTGGAGAATCAGGACCTTCTGATGAGAGATGGGTTTCTAGAATAAAACAGCAGAGTACCGTCTTAAGACCTAAGATTGCACAGAAGCCTCAAGCTTCCAGTCTTCTGGCATAGGACTGCACATGAGGGCGAGCTGACCCTTTATTATTATTATTTTAATACAAATAGCATGAAAATTTTGGGTAAACAAGTATAGTCAAATCTTTATATTTATTTTAAAATATAAATCCAGAGGAAATAGACATAGAGATTTCATTAATGTGTCAAATTTGTCAAGAAAAACACTTTGATTTAATTAAAAAAATAATAATTTTAGACTTACCTTTTGGTGTTTATTCAAATATAACTTCATTTTTAATTTCTACAAATTTTATATTTGATCGTTTTTCATTTTAATCTATTATTGTGGTTTATCCTAATATGTAAAATATAATAATAATATATGGTTTGGTTTTATGGTTTAATTAAAAAAAAATCAGAAATGTCCTCACATATGCTTAAAAGACAACTGGTTCATTGATAATCAAATAAATTGTTAAGTTAAAGCAATGGTTTGTTTAATTTGCAAATCTTAATTTGTGAAATAAGCAAAAAAAAAAAAAGTAAGATTTTTTTCCCGTCAGATAAGAGAAAGGTGATATAGTGTTAAACATAACAAAAACACAAATTACATTGGTATTTGTGTGCAATACATAAATAAATATATAGTTTCTTGTTTAAGCTACAACTTAACACAAATTAATCAATTTCGTATAAACCTAAAGACAAGTCCCAGAGGATCGAAACAGGTGTAATAATCGACCACTGCTGTAGTCGATCGGATTCCGAAACGGTCATTTCACTTACCTCTTTTCAAGTAATTGTAAAAAAAAAAAAGGGATCATTATAATATTTCTATTCAACATAAAGTAAAACTGATCACATTGTAATTCCAAAAGTAGCATCGAAATTATTGTTCAATATCTATTATTCAGGTCTGGACTCGACTGCGTCATCGTAACATCGTGTGTCCGTGTAGCATGCTGCTTGCTAACTGTTATCCTTCAAGCAGATGCGTGAGACTTTATCAAGTGTAGGTTTTAGCAGATGAAGAAAGTTAACATGCAACGAGCCGGATAAAACTTTAAAAAAATGTTAAATATCGCCTCTTTGTCCGCGCGACACGTGAGTAAAATATCTGTTTTCAGGTTCTCGATCGTTTCAGCAAGGACACCAGAAACACTCGCTCTGACAGGGGGTCCGAATTCACCACAACACCGGTTCACTGGAGTTCTGTCACCGGCTCCATGGTGGTTCTCGGTGGGACACGGCGTCAGGTTTGTGTCCCTGTCCGCCTCGTTTAGAGAAAATGTGGACTCTGCCTCGGACGACCCTGACCAGGAAAACTTCGGCTTACTGTCCAAAGACATCGCTTCCAGGAAGTTGTTCAAGAAAAGCAGCCCAGGTATCCGAGACCAGCGACACCGAGAAGATGCTGATGATGATGAGGAGGAGGTGGAGGAGGTGGATAAAACCATCAGGAGACCTTCGAGGAGAAATACTCCTTACTGGTACTTGTTACAATGCAAGAAGCTGATTAAAGCGAACAAGGTGAGGCAGTTTGTCCTGCTTTCTCTCCTTTCTTTGTAGTTTCAGTGTGTATTTAGCTGTTTTGTCGTCCCACAGCTGCAGGAGGCTCTGGAGATGTTCAGCAGAGACATGCTGAAGGAGGAGAGGCTGCAGCCTGAGGAGTTCAACTACACTGTCCTGATTGGAGGCTGTGGGCGAGCTGGACAACTCAAAAAGGCCTTCAAACTCTACAATGATGTAGGAACATATGATTATCACTCATCACTTTATGAGTCTACGTTGCTAAATCAGTATTTTGGTTTTCTCTGAACAAATCTGGAAGGTTATAATGTGGAACACTTGTAGGTTTGTTAAATTTATTTATGAGAGGAGACGACACCAGCACTGCACATTTATAGCGCCATCATTTTTTTTTGGGAAATACCCTCCGTTCGTCCATCCGTGCATGTTTTGTGTGCACGAACTTAAAAATTAAGTGAGGTATTGACTTCCATTTTGGTATGTGGGTGCATCTAGGCGTAAGAAAAGTTCCTTTTCGAAAACTGGTTTGCCACTTCAAAATCCAAGATGGCCACCACCATCAAAATATTAGAATATTGTGGGAAAAAATCTATATTTTTTGTCATTATTGTCAGAAAGTGAAACTTAAATATTTCTTAGATTCATTACACACAGAGTGAAATACTTAAGAGCCTTTATTTCTTGTCTTTTTGATGATTGGGGCTTCTCCACAGTAACTTCTGCCCATTTAAATGTGTTGCACCAAAATCGTGAAGGTTTCTGTTCAGTTCCAGTCCAGAAAAACACTTGTAGGGGAACACCACCTCAGAAAAAGAACACCACCTCAGAAAAAGAACACCACCTCAGAAAAAGAACACCACCTCAGAAACAGTTCACCTCAGCTCAAACAAACATCATTCATGTGTTTTTGTGTTTAAACCATTTAAAATAAGATGCATCTATTCCCTTGGGAACAAACAGACTTTGTTTTACAGGTGTTCATCTCAGCACTAACTTCTTAGTTGACACTAATGTAAATGTATTTAAAATAAAAACTTTCACTGCCAGTATGAAGTCATTTCCCATGAAACGGACAGATCGTTTTAATGAGTTTGGTTCAACTGACCTCGAAGCTTAGGAACATCCGAACTCGCTACTTTGATATCTTCCTTTATCGAAAAGGAGTACTTCTCCCAGAATGGTTCCCATGAAGAGAACACATTTTAAAGAACCCTGTGTTTAATGACATTTTCTTTTCAGGAGATGAACAGCGACACCTTTTGATGAACATTGCATGTTAGTGATTCTGTTTTATTTCATACCTGAATGTTTATTCATGAAAATGTGTGTTTTAAGTAATCTCTCTTTAAGATAATCATTTGTCTTATTTTTCTCTTTTAAAAGAAGAGTGACTTTTAAGGCAGAGAGAAAAAGGACTATATTTATTTAATAGGCCTTTATAAAAGCACGACAAAGAGTTAGGACCACCTCTTCCGATAGGTGGACCTTCACCTCTGAACAACACAAACAGTTAAGTTTCTTTTCTACATCTTCTTTCACTGCACACTTCACGGAGGCTCCGTCTCAGAAGACTTCACTGGAGCTCGGAACTGGGAGAGAAGAAACCCAGTTTCTGCACTGGCCTCAGAGAGAAGCATCCTTTCTGCAGACGTCTCAGGACGAGAGAAAGACACAGAACCTGGCATTAACCTGAGATTTGTTACCAGAACCATCACACCGCAGAGGAGTGGTAAATCCCAGCTGACTCTCATATGGACCCTCGTCCCTCTAAGATGACAGGTGAACTTCGAGGAAAAATCAGCCTCTCAGTCACCAGAACATCTGGGCTGGTACCATTTTTAAGCAGCTGTTGGACCATTCCTGACCATCTCATTCTGGTAGGAAAGAGACTCTTCAATGCCTTTCTGGTGATCATACATCACAATAATCTTAGACAAACTACAGCTCATTTAAACACAACTTTAACTACTCCACAAACAGAACCAGTCCAAAATCTGCCTTTTTAAAGTTTCACTGATTTGAATAATCAATTAGACCTTTGATACAAAGCTATTTGTTATTCATTTGTTTGTTATGCATAATTTTCATCACATATATCACATATTGTTTTTATAATAAAATACATAAAATCAACTGAATTTGTGATTAATTTTGGCATATCTTTGTGTATTAACTGATTTGATGCCCTTTAAACACGAGAAAGAACTCACATTTCAGTTTACATTTAATTTGGGGTTAGAGACTGATTTTTCCTCTTAAAGAGAGGTGGTGCCCACACACACACACACAACAAGGTTATTTGCATAATAAATGCATATCTTATGAGCTTAACTCATAACTGATAATTTACAATATATATCCAGCCCCATATCCCTCTACACACTCATCTAGAAAACTATAAATATTCACTATTCAAAGCTCATGTTTTGGCTATTTTAACAATTGGGAACAATTTGTCTTTTTTTTTAAAACAGGCTGTGAGAAACAAATCTTCAAAAAGGTCCAAAAATAATCTTGAGACAACTCAACAAAACCAATAAATCAAAAAGACTCTTTATGCGTAGACAAAAAAAAAAAAGCTCATGCTGTGGAGATCTATTTGTTCACTTTAAATCTAAATCTGTCATTTATTATTAACTCTAAATTTTCCAAGTTGATGAACACATTGAAATAAAAGTCGGTTTGGGTTTATTCTCACAGGTTATGTGGCTGGAATTTGAGTTAATATCAGATTACGTGGTCATTGATTAAATATTAATGTAACAATAATAATGTTATTGCATACAGTAGTCCCTCGCTACTTCATGGTTCATTTACACAACTGGCTGATTGATGGATGAGCCGCAAGATGGTCATTGAATTTTTTATTTAAAATATCTTAAATTATTTAGCACCTGCTGTACCTTTGTGCAGCTCAGAGGTGCAGGAGAAGCTTCATCCTGCAGCTAATCAGCTGATCTCCGTGCAGAGTGGAGAAGTGGGCGTGGCCAAGAGTGCTTGCAGGTGGCACAGAGCAGCGGAGGCAGGGAGCTGAAATCATGACATTCTGTGTCTCTTTTAGAGCGTTTAGAGTTTAGAAACATTGTTTAGAATATTGCAAGAGTGTGGGAAGGATTAATATATATAAATACTAAAATAAACTAAACTACTACTTATGACTTGTACTACTATTCCTACTTAGCGGTTTTTCACTTATCGCAGGGCTTCAGGGTACTTCTCCCTCGCGATAAACGAAGGACTATGGTAATAAATTTGTGACTATTGTCACTGAGACACAAAGTTTTTAGCTATTTTAAGATAAATTATATCACTCCATGACCCAGCATTTAATGCAATTGTTCACCCTTCTCACTATGCTTAACTTTAAAGCCTCCTTATAAACCTTCTTAATTTATAATTTATAGAAATATCCCACTGACCCTTAAACATAGTTATGAATGTTTTCGACCATGTTTACAATATTTGCGTTCCTCCCTCAGTTGAAGAAACGAGGTCTGGATCCTTCAGATGCAACTTACACAGCACTGTTCAACGCCTGCGCAGAGTCGCCTTCCAAACAAGCCGGACTTGAGCAGGCGCTGAAGCTGGAACAGGAGCTCCGTCGCAAAAACTACCCCCTGAGCACCATCACGTACCACGCTCTTCTCAAGACTCACGCCATCACCAACCACCTCCAAGCCTGCATTCACACGCTGAGGGTACGTGTGCCTTGTCACGAGGCCGGGGCTGTAGCTGTGTGGTGTTTAACTGTGTTTGTTTGCAGGAGATGCTGCAGAATGGACACACTGCAACTCAGGAGACGCTTCACTACCTGCTGATGGGCTGCTTGAAGGACAAAGATGTTGGTTTCAGGCTCGCTTTACAGGTAAATATGGGAATCACAGACACACAAGGCCAGATAGATTTATTTAGCTGTACTTTTTGAGTCACTTTTCTTCATTTGGATGAATCTGGGCAGCAGTTCTCTATTTTCTTAACTTACTTCCCTATTATCGTGTGAATGTTTATGAAGCCTTCACACTACTGCGATCCATTCTTTCTGTAGGTTTTTCGGTGCGATTCTCAGCCCACAGTTTTCAAGCCATTTCAACAAATCATAAATCAAAATGTTCAGCTCGTTGCAGAGAAAGGTGCTAACTTTAGCTTTTTGAACTATTTAGCCTTTTCTGCCACTTTTTTTTCATAGAAAATGAATTGAGCTCATTTGACATCCTTCAGATCTTTAGATCTGTTTACAACCTTTCACTGCTCCTTTCACATTTTGTTCTGGTTCAGCTACTTTCAGCTAATTTCAGCTGTTCTGTGCTCCTTTCTGCTAATTGTACAATTTTTGTGCTTCTTCTAACTTCTTTTGGCTAATTTCATCTTATTATGCTCCTTTCTATTTCTGCAAGTTTCAGCATTTTCTGCTATTTCAGCTAATATTTAGCTGTTTTTATTCTAATGTTAGCTTTTTCAGCAAATTCCACATTTTTTGCACTTTTACTTTTTTCAGCGTAGTTCAGCAAAAATGTGCTCTCTCCACTTCCTTCTTGTTATTTAAACTTCTTTCTGCCTTTTTAGCTTTTTCCAGCAGTTTGTTTGTTTTGGATAATTTCAGCTTTTTTCAGATGATTTCCACTTGTTTGTGCTAATTTCTGCCTCTTTCGTCCTAATTGGGCAAACATGTTCTTTCTTCTTTAGAATCAGAATCAGAATAAGCTTTATCATCATTGTACCGGAAAACAGTGAGATTATGTTCATACAGTCGTCTGAAAGATGGGCGGAGTGCACGTTGCTGCTGCTGAAAAGCGTGGCCCCTTATTCTTTATCAGAATACTTTTAGATAGAAAAAGGGAAGAACATGAGTATAGATAGTGGTATTACAAAAAACGATCTCTTCACATCTTGTCCTATCAGCGATTTAAGACATCAAAAAACTCTACCAGCAAGCACATTTGTCAACACATTACATATGCATTTGATGTCATGGTGTTGAGATTTGTCCATGAGCACTTTCAGATCAGCCACAGTTCTGATAAGTCTGCACAGAAGTTCTTGGGGGTGGGGGTTGCGATAGATGAACCTTTTGTCCCTAGTTTCCCATGCCCAAGGAGAAATTTGATAGTCGGCCTGTGTCTGAGGCTAAACAGGAGAGTCAGACTCAGATAAGACACAATTGTTGATTTTCTTGAGGCAGACTGTTTTTTTTTTTGTCAGCCTTGAGTCTTACTGGAACTTTCTGGTTCAAAATGGCCAAATTTATGGGTATCCACTCCACTGATCCATATTATGAGCCTCCTTCAAGGTCGATCCCAACATGCTGACGAGTTCTAGAAGACGCAGGTGGCCTGCGATTCTTACAAATCGCCTCCATCTTACAGTTTAGCTAGTAAATCAGCTGATTTTGAGTCCTCATAACACAAACCAAACCTTCTCACTGACTCGGAAGCTTTGTCATTAGCTAATTTATAATATTAGCATTTTGCTAATTTCAGCATGTAATAATAATAATAATAATGTGTTATTTGTTGTCATCATTGTATGTTGTCATACAATGATGAAATTGGCTCTCTGAATTTAACCAAGCCACCACCAGGTGGAGCAGTGGGCAGCTGTGGAAAGAGCCCGGGGAGCAACTGGGGATAATGTGTCCTGCTCAGAGACACCACGAGATGTGCAATGACTGGGGATCGAACCTGTCGAACCCGAGTCGGCTGCCCTGCCCCTACACCTCTCGCCCCCTCTTGTTATGCTCCTTTCAGCTTTTTTCTGCTAGTTTCAGCTTCTTCTGCTTTTTCAGCTACTAGTTACATCTTTTGATGCTAATTTTAGCTTTTTCAGCTAATTCCACATTTTTTTTAGCTCATTTCTGTTCATATTACTTCCTTCTGGTAGTTTAAGCGTCTTTCTGCCTTTTCAGCACTTTTTAGCTTTTTAAAAAAAAATTTTTTTTTGACTAATTTCAGCCTTTTTAGCTAATTTCCAAATTTTTTAGCTAATTTCTGCTTATTTAAACCCAATTCAGCAACTATGTGCTATTTCTGCTTTCTTCTGCTAATTTAGGCTTGTTCTTCCATTTCAGCTACAATTCAGAATGTTTTTTCAGCTAATTTCAGCTGTTTCTCAGCAAGTTCTTCAACAATAAGCATTCACACTGCATTTTCGCAGGAAATGCAATTTCTCTGGTTCCTTATGTTTTGTGCAAACTTTGTGCTTTAGATTGTGAGTTGATTAAAAGTGTTTAATTTTTCCAGGTCTGCAGGTTTATTCATCCATTCAGTGAATGGTTTCAGAGCTGATCTTTAAGCTTTAACACACGTTTTGACATTTTTTAATCTGGCCCTTTTCTTTTCTGGAAGATTTTTTTTTGTAGTGAACTTTTTTTTGTATTTCCACTGGGAAGTCTTGTTTTCATGATCATTGTGGCTACATTGTGCCTCGTCATTTTCCCTGGACTGTAAAAGATTTCCCACAACAGAAAAGTCTATTTGACCGTCCACAAATATTTTATAAAACTTTATGCTGCCAGAATGTACTAAAGTACATTTGGACACTCCTAATAGATTTACTTTGTTTTTACAGCCTGTGAAGGTTTGTTTGATTTGAATGGTTCTTTGCCTCCATTTGACAGATTTTATGTATCAGTTTCCAAATGCCCAAGTTTGCAGTAACATCTAGAAATAAGTGATAAACAGACAATAAAATATACAAACTAATGTCACAGCTTTTTGACTTGTGAAGCCCCAGCTGTTTTACAGCCAGGCAAGATTCAAACAGACAAATGTCCTGTGTGATCTGAGTTGATGCTGATGTTCATTACAGGTGTGGCGCCAGATGCTGCAGTCAGGGATTGCTCCTGATTTGCAGAATTATAATCTGCTCTTAAGAACTGCCAGGGACTGTGGGATCGGTGATCCTGCTTTAGCCACAAGTATTCTTCTGAAGTCTGACTGCGACGGGCGCAAAGAAACAAACAAGTCGTCAGGTGGCAGCTGCAGGGGGGTAGTAGACATCGACCTTCTGGAGAGGCAGCTGCTTCTGCAGCAGGATCCACACAGGGGCCGTCTTCATCAAGACAGCAGACCCAGTGAGGGCGAAGAATCCACCCATCTCATACCAGTCGGACAAATAGAAACCCTCCCACTTCCTGTTGACCCAGCAGCTGATTCTGCAGCACCCAACCTGCTGGACATTTTTGAAGGAAAACGGTGCCCTGTGCTCTCACTCAGCGCCGTGGATTCAGTGTCTGATAGGCTGGCGATCATCGGCGGAGCAAAAGCTGTTCTGGACAAGATGGAAGCTAACCAGCTCAAACCGGACCTCAGAACTCTGACGCTTCTGGCCGACACGATGGAGCCAAGCTACCAGTCCCTGCAGTTGTTGTTAAAGGCTGCCAAACAGCACAGGGTCAAGCTCGATGTTGCCTTTTTCAACTCGGTGATTCGCAGAACAGCCAAAGCAAGCAGCAATTTCGAAGAAGCAAAGGTAACAGCACACACACACACATGAATTCACCAGAATTACTGCCATCTCAACTAGACCTGTCACGATAACAAATTTTGCTGGGCGATTAATTGTCAGAAATTATTGTGATAAACGATAATATTGTTAGAAATTTCACAATAATTAGTAATTGTTAAATTTACGAAGAAATGTTGGTTAATTTTTGTGTGTAGTACCTTTTTTGACCACTGGATGGCAGTATAAGACCATTTGAGCCAAAGGATGGATAGTGAGGGAGCGAGCAGCGTGTCTCTTTAAGAAAAATGGGAGGGAGGCCCCTTGACGTGACATGGGCCGTCTCTCTTTCCTTTTTTTGGTTCTCAAAATGGCGGATGCTTGCTGTGGTTTGAGCTCTTTAGCGTAGCATTTTTCACACAAAGTTGTTAATAAAAAAATCAGTAAACAAGTTCTCAGCTTCTTTTTGCAGAGAAAAACTTTTTAGACGAAGGCACGGGTTTCAACTGAACTTTTGGAGCTTCGACAAGACGGAGGTCCCCCCCCCCCAACGTCGGCCTGTTAGCTTAGCTCGTAGCTTAGCTTCTCAGCTTAGCTGCTTTTAACGATCCAAAAACGTGATTTTGGATCGTTAAAACAAATTTTAAAGAGAAAAGAGAAAGGGAGGGGAAGAGCACCGGAGTTGAGCCTTTTATCATCCAGTGTCTTCTGTAGAAGGAGAGGGACACGAAACGATAAAGCGATAAATGAAAACGAGGTTGATAATTTTCATTTATCATATGTTTAACTGATTTATTGTTTATCGCGACAAGCCTAATCTCCACACCTTTAAACCAAATTATGAAACATTTCCATCTTTTCAGTTAAGACTAATTTATTCTTCATCAGAAAAACTGACATTTTTTGCTCGTTGATGTGGCTGCATGAGAAAAATTACTTTTTTGTTATTGGACCTCCTTAGAGAACCCGTTCTGTTCCCAGCCCTTTGTCACAGCTGCTGTCTCGAAGGGTCAAAACAAGTTTTGGGTTGGTCAGAACTTCATGAACTTGTTTTTTGGGAAAGTGGCTGCAGCTCTCATTTCACTTCAAGTGATCTGCTAAAGAGCAGATTTCCCAGGCTGTATGAAAATGTAGCCATCTTTGCTGCTAAATGTTCAAAGACCTCATGGAAGGAGACGGCACAGAGACGCAGGCTGCTGTCAGGGACTGCTCTGCAGGAAGTCCACCTCAGCTAGGCAGCGCAGAGACGTGTTCGTTTGTCAGAAAAAGGTGTCAGTTTGTGTCACATTTACAAAACCGTGCTTCTCCTCTGTTAACAACAGAAACCTCTTCCAACTCTATCATCACCTGAAAAAAAAAAAAAACATCCGCTCTGACGTCTTAGAATATTGTGACAAAGTTCAATTTCTTTGCTACCGTATGTTTCAGCCTATAAGTCACGTTTATTTTTGTGCTTAATTTACATGCCCTGTGACTCATAGGCCGAAGCGACATATTTATGGATTTTTTCCCACATTTATAAACTAATTTTTGGCTGTGATATGACCTTTTTCATTCATTCTGACTGAAAAACAAATTGATCAGTACCTCTTTCAGCCACTTCATGGAAGCAGAGTAGTAGTAGAAGTTGTAAGGCATGCCGTTGTATCATGTAATATGTAAACTTGGCTATAATGACAAATTCAAAAAAGTTCAAGACAAAAACAAATGGACCTTATTTATTATACTTTTCTTTATATTTTTTTATTTATGTCGTTAACTTTTTTGAATTTACCATGTCCTGGATGACTGAGAATCTTCGCCAGCTATTAATGACACAATCGGCTTGCCATATACTTCCATCTTCATTCTGCTCGCTGTTTCATTTTGCTGCACCGCCCCGGTGAAATGCAGCTAATTTGACCATTAAAGTGCATTTATTAAGCAAAAGTTCAACTGAGACAAAACTTTGCTATCATTTTGAGCAAACAAATAATTGTTTTCGGTGCTTTTCTTTTTAAATTTCCAAGAAACGAGCAGCGTTCCTCCTCCTTTTTTCCTCTCTATCTGCGCACTCTCGGAGCACCGAGGCAGTGAATACTTTTGAAATACATCTGATTTGACCATTAAAGTCCTTTTTATTAAGCAAATGTTTGACTGAGATACACCTTTACTATGAAGTTAGATGACTCTAACAAGGTTGAGTCAGGCTCTGGACAGATTATTTTTTGCTGAAACTTTTTGTCTTTTATCCAAAAGACTTCTTCAGTCTGAAGTCTATTGGATAAAACGTCTCAACGAAGAAGAATCCGTGTGTTTTGTAGTTCTTTTTAAAAAGAAGTGGTCGCTATGAGAAAAATGTTGACAGGCTGTTTGTTCAGAGTGGATACAGATATAAATTTCAGACACTCTTTTTGTTGATGAATATGAACGCTTTGTTTCTGCCGATGTTTTGACGGGTTCTTTCCCTCTGCAGGCTGTGCTCCGTGTGATGCGACAGCGTAGTGTGAGTGTGAACATGCAGACGTTCGGAAGTCTCGCTTTAGCCTGTGTTCGGTCTGAGGATGGCATTCAGCTGCTGAAAGACATAGAGGTACAGTAATAATAAGACTAAAGTTTTAACAGTAAAAGTAATTGTGTTATTTACAAATTAAGTATGTAAATTCTTGCTGAACTCTGTGACAAAAGCTAATTTTTAGCTTAAAATGCAGACACATTGTTCCTTTGTGCATTTTGCAGGAAGCAGGCCTGAAACCCAACATCTACGTGTTCTCTACTCTGATTGGCCGAGCAGCTAGAAGACTGGATTACGTCTATCTTAAATCACTCCTGATGAGCATGAAAGAGATGGAAGTGTGGCCCAATGAGGTCATAATTAAGCAGCTGGAGTTTGCCGCGCAGTATCCTCCCAACTACAACCAGGTCAGAACACACACACACGACAGAACAGAACAAGAACAATAAAATTAATTATAAGTACCGTATTTTTCGCCGTATACGTTGCACCTTTTTTGCATAAATTTGCAAGTCCTGCAACTTATACACTGAAGCGACTTATTTATGTCTTTTCCATATTTATAAACCGTTTTTAGGCTGAGATCTGATGATTTCATTCACTCTGACATGGAAAATATTGAACGCTACCATTTTCAGCCACTAGAGGGCCCTCGAGGTATATGGCGAGCCAAGTGTCTCATTAATAGGTAAAAGTGGCAATTAATGAGACACTTGGCTTGCCATACTAAGCCACCTTTGTCTCGCTCCTGAACTCCTGGAGCAAACGCCAAATCAGCTGCATTTCGCCGCACCGCCCAGAAGAAATGCAGCTGATTTGACCATTAAAGTGCATTTATTAAGGAAAAGTTCAACTGAGACACACCTTTACTATAATGTTGAGCAAACAAATAATTATTTTTAGGTGTTAATCTTGTTAAATTTTTGATAGTCTTCCCGTGCACGCTGCGCCATTTGGCAGCCAATCGATTTTTGGCACAACACCCTCCCACATTTCTGGGTGGTCAACGTTGACGCATAATAGATGCGACTTAAACAACAAAGTGACTTATATTTATTTATTTTCCATTTTATTAGACATAATTTGGACTGATGCGACTTATACGGCGGAAAGTACGGCGCTCGTTTCTGATTTCTTTCTCTCTCAATCCCAGTATAAGTCGAGGAACAACTACCTGGTGCACATAGATGGTTTCCGTGGTTACTACCAGCAGTGGCTGAGAGACATGCCTGCTCTGACTGCTGAGGAGGAGCGCTCGCAGCTGCAGTCTGAGTCAAACAGCGCTGTGCCGACGGTGGATGTTGCAGAATCCCAGAGGAACCAGAGAGCAGCAGCCAGGAGATACAAGTCTCACCATGGAAACAAGGAGCACCGAAACGTGTCGGCTCTGTAACAGCCATGAAAGTGTCTGCATGCCATGGCTCTATATTGCCAAGTGGCTCAAGTACTTTTTTTCTTTAAAAAAAACAATACATTTTTGTATTTTATAATAAACTTGATCCAGTTAACCTTTTTTTTTGTCTACTAAATTAATTTTTTTATTATTATGAAGTCAGTGTCTTCTTTGTAGAAACCGTATTCTTTTACCTTTCATGTTCATAGTCACTTGCAGGATGTGGTTTATTCCTACGTCCGACTGTGTGTTTGATAATCATTTTGACGTTAAACACAAACGAGCTAGAGTTTATTGAACTGTGCAAAATTATTTGAATTAAATCTGTTTAATCATTTTGTGTTTTTAGCATTCTTGTGAACTGGTGTTCTATTAAAAGCTGAAATGGCCTATACTGGATAAAAATAGGGCAGTAAAATAGTAAAGCAGCACCTTAACCCTTTCACAGCTCAATAACTTGATTCATTTCAAACTGTTCTTAGACGTTATTAAGTTGAAATAAGTAACCAGGTTTTCACACCCCTATGTTTAAAGGTGCACAGTTATGGGAAGCATATTTCATGGCTGTGATATTCAATAAATTAAGTGCTGGTAAAAATGGTTATCTACATTTATATTTATGTATACAGTATGCGTATAGGGTACTTTTTAAGGCTTCCAAAGTATGCAAAAGGTAGAAAGGGTGGGATGTTGCAAGAGAGCCTCCATGTTTTTCAAGGAATGCCAACTGATGACCTTGTGGCAAAACAAAAGCCATAAAATGTCAGTTTTATTGTGCTGTTGTCTTATATAGACTATTTGAGAGGAAAAATAAAACACTGCAATATGGGATTTGTGGAATCACCTGATATAGGCTTTATTTGTTTTTAAATGGTAAATGGACTGTACTTCTAGACATCTTTCTATCTTATCAAGACACTCAAAGCTCTTTACAATCTGTCCTCATTTACCCATTCAGCACTCTACAAGGAATAATCACTGCTTTAAATCACTTTCACCGATGGGACACACATCAGAGGCAATGAGGGGTTCAGTGTCTTGCCCAGGGACACCAGCATGTGACTGCTGGTGGAATCAAACCCACAACTCTTCCATTTGAGGACAATGCTCTAGCCACAGCTTCCCCACTTTAGTTTACAGTTGATATTTTTAACAGAGAACAGTTTGTACTTAAATCTGGTCCTCTGGACATTAAAAAAAACCCAAAACAAAGCAAATCAACAAAAAAATGTAGAAACGTTTCGTCTTTCATCCGAAAGACTTCCTCAGTCTGAGGAGCTGTATTCAGCTCAGTCTCTTAAATAGCACCTTCTCCGAGTGGATCAACCAGTTTTGCTGCTGACAACCAAAACCAGCTGATCACATGCTCAAGAAGGACCATCAGCCTAACAATGGATCATTAGCACACTGATGGCTGTTTACTGTTCACAGAGGGTTGAGTGATACTAGCAATCACAGCATTGTAAGAGGGGGACAGTTGAACCCGGAGGCCTCCACCCCTGTTTAACGATGGACGGTTTCTTTTCACAAAGATGGCCTCCTTTACTCCTCTCTCAAACCATCGTTCCTCTCTGTCCAGGATGTGAACATCTTCATCCCTGAAAGAGTGACCGCTGGCCTGGAGATGAGTGTAGACCGCAGAGTCCTGGCCTGATGATGTTGATCTTCTGTGCTGGGCCATCCTTTTGGCCAGTGGCTGTTTTGTTTCCCCGATGTAAGACTGATCACCCTCCTGACACTGAACAGCATACACAACATTACTCTGTTTGTGCCGGGGGACTGGATCTTTGGGATGAACCAGTCTTTGCCGTAATGTATTTTGGGGTTTAAAAGTGTTGTGGCTAGATTGCCACTAATGGTGTTCAAACAGCTGAAGCGGGCACCTTAGTTCAAAAGATTTATTGGACAACAGTTTACAAGTATTCAGAGTTCATCAAATCAACAAATCTGTATGCATACAGGAGCATTTACCAAAACCGACCTGATCTGACGCTTCTCCAGCAAATGCTACTCGTATTTTTCTGGTGGCTGTGTTTTATACACTTCGGGCTCTCTGATTGGTTTAACCGAAAAGGTTGCCATGGTTACTCTGCTCTGGCCGGGGACGTGGCACATTCTTTAGATAAGATAAGGCACTATTATGACCTGCACGAAAATCGGCTCTTTGTTTTAGCCGTTTCAGTGTAACCTAATTATACCTTAGTGATACCAAATGATTCTGTTCTAAAGTTAGTTTCTTTCTAGGAATAATTAATAACTATTATTATCTAACTCATGTTTGCGTGTTCTTACTTGATCCCTTTTTATACTTCTGTTTTAGTTTGTTTTAGTTGGATTTTACTTAGTCAAACTATATTCAGTCTAAATTAAAGAGATGTGTTCTAGCTTTATTTATGTTAATCAGTCTGCTATCTGGCATGATTTGATTGCTTGTAATATATCAAATGTGAACTTGTAAAATTATCCTTAGCTAATATGAGATTATGTTTAAAGGTCAACTAGTTAGAATTAGCAAACATTTTCTATAAATATAGTTCAACCCTGGAAGAAAGGCACACACACACTTTATATAACATGACATTTGAATGCTTGATAGGAAATATAAAAAGGTATAAAAATATGAAATCCAACAAAAGTCACTGGGACGTTATGTTTAGAAAATAAACGTCTCAGTTTCTCTGATACTCCCTCAACATATGGAATGACCACTGGTCTGGGTCTGGGTTCTTCCTTTTCACCTCTTGGCTGACTGGGGTCCTGTTTGGGTTTCTTCTCTGCTTTCAGGAAGGCCCAGTTAGGATATCCACATTGCTCTAGAGCCTGTCTTGTGTGGGATTTCTCCTTCTGCCTGGCTCCTGAGCTAGTGGGGACGCTGTCTGCTCTGTGGTACAGAGTCCTGATGACTCCTAACTTGTGCTCCAAAGGGTGATGGGAGTCAAACTGCAAATACTGGTCTGTGTGGGTGGGTTTGCGGTACACCTCAGTTTGCAAATGTCCTCTATCAGAGACTGAGACCTCACAGTCCAAGAAAGCCAACTTGCCATTTTTTTCATCTTCTCGTGTGAACTTGATGTATTTATCCACAGAGTTGATGTGGTCAGTAAAATGTTGGACTTCCTGAGATTTAATTTTAACCCAGGTGTCGTCAACATACCTGAACCAATGACTTGGTGGTGTCCCTGAAAAGGACGTCATGGCTCTCTTTTCTACCTCCTCCATGTACAGGTTGGCAACAATAGGAGAAACTGGAGACCCCATAGCACACCCATGTTTCTGCCTATAATATTGCTCCCCATATGTGAAGTAGGTTGACTGCAGGCAAAGTTTCAAGAGTTGACACAGTTGTTCTGTGGAAAGTGTGGTCCTGCTGCTCAGAGTGGTGTCTGATTTTAATCTTAAACTGACCACCTCTATTGCATCATCAACAGGAATGCACGTAAAGAGTGATGTGACATCAAAAGAGACCATTGTTTCATCAGTCTCCATGATGACATCCCTCACCTTATCCACAAAGTCCATGGTGTTCTGTATGTGGTGTTCTGAGCTGCCAACTAAAGGGATGAGTACAGACACCAGATATTTGGAAACATTGTAAGTGACAGAGTTAATCATGCTAACGATTGGTCTTAAAGGTACACCTTGTTTGTGGATTTTAGGTAAACCATACAGACTAGGTGTGGCCTCCCCTGGGTACAGTCTGTGGTACAGAAAACGGTCAATAGCCTTGTCCTGCTCCAAAAATTTTCAGGCAATCTGGAGCAACTTGGAGCAGGACAAGGCTATTGACCGTTTTCTGTACCACAGACTGTACCCAGGGGAGGCCACACCTAGTCTGTATGGTTTACCAAAAATCCACAAACAAGGTGTACCTTTAAGACCTATTGTTAGCATGATTAGCTAAATATTTAGTTAGTAAATTAAATATTTATTTTGGAAATTAAATGTTAAGCTTTATAAATTAAATATTTAGTTTGGACAATAAATATTTAGTTTAGAAAATAAATATTTAGCTTGGAAATTAAATATTTAACTTACACCTAAATATTTAGTTCACTAATTAAATATTTAACTTGCAAGTTAAATTAAGCATTTATCTTGCACATAAACATTTAGCTTGTAAACTAAATATTTAGCGTGGAGCCAAATTTTTAGCTTGCTAACTAAATATTTAGCTTGTAAATTAAATATTTAGCTTGGAACAGACATTTATAAATGTACGAATGACATGGTGAAAATGACTTTGAGAAAAAAAAACTATTTTTTTTAATTTTTTTTATGAAAGGCTAAATAAACCAAAAATATTGCTTTTAGTTTTTGACTGTGTAACTTTATGGCACCTCGTAGTTAATGACAAAGGTTTAAGCAAAGTTCTCATGTACTGAGTACTTGAAGTACTTGTCATGACTAACTCTGCTACAGATCTGCACATTGACTGAATTATAGTCACTTTTGTGTTTTCTAAGGTGAGTTGGCCTAAAACATAAAAGTAATTTGTGGAATTGCATACAATTATTCTTTCCTAAAAGTTTCATTAAAATCTCTCCAGTGGTTTAAAATGTATTTTGCTAACACACACAGAAAGAGCTGACTGTTAATGTTAGAGTTTAAAAGCCATAATGGCTGTTAAATATACTATCTTTAAGTGTTTCTGATTTCAAATGTTATGCTCCTAACACTATCATGAAATAACTGGGAGTTGATGTAACTTAAACCCATCTGGGTTTTTGTATAAATAAAACAAAAAGGAAAAAAGAAGAGATAAAAAATTATATTCCTCATGTTTGGTTACAACTATATTACAGGTCAGTTATGGAAATTTTCCCACTGGGGTTTGAAATATCTGCATAATAGCCTTGATTTCCACTGCTCTATTTCCTCCCTAAAAAGAGCTTCTGTCAACTCTCGACCTTATGCTTCTAGTTGCCATCTCTTTTAGATGAAAAGAGAAATTCACTTTTTCACTTTCGACCTAGTGTCTCAGATTCCATTGTTGTTCCTCTGACTCCGTTTACGTTCTGGGATTATTCTACCGCCTCAATATTTGTAGCACGCAGAGATGGTCTGAAGTGTATTTGTCAATGTTCAAATGAAAACAAACAACTCATAATTGTTGGCAACAAAACAAAACTTCTGATTTCACTCATTTATTACCAATTAAGGAATAGACTATATGAATGATGTGTATTTACGGCAGTGTTATTTTTTGTTGTTGTAGATGACATATAAAAACAATCAAATACAAACAGAAAATGTGTGTATTTTGAGGTTTTAAGCAAAGACCTTGTGTATTTTATTAGTGCTCAGAACGTGTTGTGGGTAACTCAACTACTGCCACATCAAATTCTAGAAGATTATCTGTCAAATTGTCTGAGCTTTAGTCATTCATGTGTTTACTAAAGTAATTTAAATGTGGTGGCCACTTGACTTAGGTTGACTCCATAAAGTACCGTATATTCCGGCGTATAAGTCGCATCAGTCAAAAAAGCATTATGAAGGGGAAAAAACATATATACCGTATTTTCCGCCGTACACGTCGCTCCGCATCAGTCCATATTTGTCTAATAAAGTGGAAAAATCCATAAATATGTTGCTTCGCCGTATACGTTGCATTTATTATGCGTCACCGCTGACAACCTGGAAATGTGGATCGATGTTGTGCCAAAAATCGATGGACTGCCAAATGGCGGCCGCAGGAGCGTGCATGAGAGGAATTTAACAAAAATTTAACAAGATTAACACTTAAAAACAATTATTTGTTTGCTCGAAATTATAGTAAATGTGTGTCTCAATCTAACGTTTGCTTAAAAAATGCACTTTGATGGTCCAATCAGCTGAATTTCAAAACCCGATATGCAGACGTAAACGCGTGCACGCGACGAGTTGCTGTGCAAGTTTAACAAGATAAACACCATTTTGCCGGGGCGGTGCAGCTGCTTTGATGGTTCCAAACAACAAGCAGAATGAAGGTGGGGAAACTACGGCAGGCTGACTGGGTCATTAATCGCTGGTGAAGATTCTCAGTCATCCAGGACGTGGTAAATTCAAAAAAGTTCAAGGAAAAAAAAATACAAGAAAGTATAAAGTATAGTATAATAAATAAAGTCCAGTTGTTTTTGTCTTGAACTTTTTTGAATTTGTCATTATAGCCACTTTTACCTATTACATGTTACAACAGCATACCATACACTATTACTATTCTGCTGCCATCAAGTGGCTGAAAGTGGTACTGCTCAAATTTTTTTTTCAGTCAGAAGGAAGGAAAACAATCATATCTCAGCTAAAAAATGGTTTATAAATATGGGAATAAATCCATAAATCTGTCGCTTTGGCCTTAAAGTCGCATGGCATGTAAATTATGCAAAAAAAACCCTGCGACTTATAGGCCGAAAAATAAGGTAAGTCGCTTTGGTATATAAGTCACATTTATTATGGGTCACCTCTGACTCGTTGAGTTTATTTAATGGCCAGCTTCATTTCACCTGGGTGGCGCTATCTGTCCATCGCGCCTGGAGCCGCTAGCTCTCCTGCGTTCCTCCGCCTGCACCAGCTGAGTGAAGCGAGCGCACATGGGAGGACTCGTTGCAGTTCTTCAAAATTTAAAGCGTCTGTCAAAAATTGCGTTATGAATATGGAAAAAAAAAAAACTATATAGGTCTCTTTGTCATATACATTGCAGGAATGACAAATCCATGCCAAAAAACTGCGACTTATACACAGGAAAATACGGTAACCAGTTGTGAGAGGTACAATCAATTATCACTTTCTGCGAGTTTTATTAAAATTTGTTTAGTGGTTTAAATATTTCTCTAACAGTCAGATTGTGCATTTTAGGCTGAAGGTGGCCAACAATTTTATAGGTAATGTCCGCAGAAGCCCCCCCTTGGAGGCACCTCTGTTTAAACGTAAATAACAGCAGTATATAATAAAATAACAGCAGTAGATGAGGACACGATAGTAGACAGCTGTGTTCTTGAAAGTAATGAAAAACAAACGTCACTTTTGAGTGCTACGCTTCAGTTTGCCAGCATAAAAGTGCAGAAAGTGTCGCTCGCTTCTTTGGGTGGGGATGCTTCACACGGCAGGGGTCCTTTTTTCAGCACAACACCGGTCCTAATGTTTTTTTAGGAGAAACTGCAGTCCCAGTTTTGTTTTTGTTTTTTCACACACTATATAATTATAGATGTGGAAGCTCAAGTCATCTCGAAGCAGAAGTGTTCAGCTGAAAGTTAGCCAGCTCGTTGTGAAAAAGAGGAACACATCCCGGGACAAAGGTTAGGAAACCTTGTGACTGCCGCCGCGGGGGACTCTCAGGCTCGGTTCTCTGTCCCTGAACGCACCGCGTGTTTACGCGAAGCGGAACCGAACCCTCCTCCTCCTTCGACTGTCCGTTTTGGATCAAGCTTCGTAACATATCCATGTCGTGTCGTGGACGAAAATAACTGCGCAACAAGTAGTTCAACCCAGCGGGAACAGCTGACTGACTATGGCGGCGGTGTTTGACCGGTCTTCGTGACCCCGTGGACCGGAGCGCCTCGCATTGACGCGGATACTCTTCATGGGCTGAGCCATGATCGGGTCACCGGACCTGCTGCCCTTCACCAGTTCTGAGGGCTTTGAGGAGAAGGAGCAGCAGGAGGCTCCGAGGAGTCTACCTGAGGAGCTGTCTGTGCCTCTTCGACCTCCTGCTCAGCCCTGGACCACCAGAGCCCAGTTTCACAGAGACTTCATCCTGGTGGCTGAGTTCTCAGAACAGGTGTGTGTACCTACAAATACAATCAGTACATCAGAGCAGAAATAAATCTGTTATTAAACTGTAAAGTTAAATAAAACATAATGAAACTAGAAAATAAATTCTGCCAAAATCAGAACAGAAGCTTCAATTAAGAACAGCTAAAAGCGCAGGTTGACCCAACAGCTAACACAGCAGAACAACAGCACAAAGCTAAAGCTATCAAAACAAAAGCTAAAGAAGTTGAAAACGATGAACTTTTAGGCCGCAGTTCAAGAAATGTTTCTTCAGTAAGTGAGTCACCACTGAAGCATGGCGGTGGCAGCATCATACTTGTGGTTGCTTCGCTTTAGCTGGAACTGGGTTTTAATCATCCATCCATTATCTTTTACCCACTTCTTCCATTTTGGGTCACAGGGGGTCGCCGGTGCCCATGTCCAGCAATCACTGTGCGAGGGGCGGGGGTCACCCTGGACAGGTTGCAAGTCCATCCCAGGGCCAGGGTTTTAATCAATTAATTTAATTAAAATTAATTTCAAACCTGTGTTAATTAGGGCCTCTAATCTTCAGGCGTAAGTCAGAAGGCTGATGGTGACAAACACCACAGGCACACATCCAAAACAACCAAAACATGTTTTCACTCGCGGAGAATGACCCGGTCAAAGACCTAAATCTGATCAGTGTGGTGACCTGAGGTGAGCGGGCCGCCAGCTGACAGAACTTTGGGAAGGAAGTCCAGTCGGAACAAGCCCAGGTGTAGTCAGCTGATCGCGGCGGAGGTCGACCGTCCATCCATCCATCCATCCATTATCTTTACCCGCTTATTCCATTTTGGGTCACGGGGATCGCTGGTGCCCATGTCCAGCAATCACTGTGCGAGGGGCGGGGTACACCCTGGACAGGTCTCCAGTCCCATCACAGGGCCACATAGAGACAAACGAGACAAACAACCATTCACTCTCTCACTCACACCTAGGGACAATTTAGAGTTACCAATCAGCCTAACATGCATGTTTTTGGTCTGTGGGAGGAAACCGGAGTACCCGGAAAAAACCCACGCATGCACGGAGAGAACATGCAAACTCCACCCAGAAAGGCCCCTGGACCGGGGTTTGAACCAGGGACCTGCTCACTGAGAGGCAGCAGCTCTACCAGTTACGCCACTGTGCTGCCCGGAGGTCGACCGATTTATCGATTTATTTTTTAAAGAAATTCGGTCAAAATGTACCGTAATTTCCAGATTATAAGCCGCTACTTTTTTCATACGCTTTGAACCAGGGCTTAATTTGTAAACCAAGGGATACCTGAACACAAAAAGCAGGCGGCCCCGGGAAAGAAAAAACACGACCATCCATCCATCCATCCATCCATCCATCCATCCATCCATCCATCCATCCATCCATCCATCCATCCATCCATCCATCCATCCATCTCCATCCATCCATCCATATCCATCCATCATCCATTCATCCATATCCATCCATCCATCCATATCCATCCATCCCTCCATCCATCCATCCATCCATCCATCCATCCATTCATCCATATCCATCCATCCATTCATCCATATCCATCCATCCATCCATCCATCCATCCATCCATTTTATTAGTGCCGTTGTTTTGAATCGTGATGTGATTAATACCCATCAAACATTTCACTCGTATATATTTTTTTTACTGCAAGCTTTTTTATTTATTATCTCTGAAATGTATACAGGAGTTCTGACACGTTGTGCGCGCTCTGCAGTGCTGTCTGGAGTCGCTCCTGTGCGTAAAACGTGCACTGTCTGCAGGGCGCACAGCCGAAGGTGGATGAAGACGCTTCATCCCCACGGGACATGCGGTCTCTGCTGGACAGGAGCGTGTGCGTGAGCTGGTGCGCCTGCAGCAGCAGTAACATCCACTCCACAGACTGGGCAACGTCTCCTCTCCTTGTGTTTTTAATAAATAATCAAAATAAAAATGCGCGATGACTTTGGACTTTTATGGGCGGAGATTTGAGTTGCCGGATCCGAGCAAACAGTTGCAGGAACACATGTGGTCAAAATGAGAGAGTTCCCGGATCTTGTTCCGGCAGGATCCGGCTCAAATTAACCACTGCGGAACTGAACACCACGACTTAAACAACGCTGCGGCTAATTTATGGAGTTTTTTTTTGATGGGCTAACGAGCTTCATGCCACCAAAACATTTAGCTTCGTCACACTCAGGCGCTCACATTGCTGCCCAACACACATCTCTCTTGTGGGGTAGTGATCAATGACTTCCTGGTAGACTACTGTATTTTTTTTAATCAGCCGTGTTACAGGCACTGTTCAGATTTTTTTTTAACTGTATTTGTGAGTGTTACCGGTACGTATTTAATTTAAAGTAAAAAAATATCTTTCTGTGTAAATATGTTACAACGTGAACACCCACGGCTTATAGACAAGCACGGCCTATTTATGTAAAATTTTGATTTTATTTTTAAATTTAGTGGGCGTGGCTTATATTCAGGTGCGCTCAATAGTCCAGAAATTACAGTATTTATTGAACAAAATATAACTATAATTTCTTAACTTGAATAAAAACATATTTAACAACCTTTAGATGAACTTAGCTATGTGGAGGCGTGGCTGATTGTTTAAAAAGTGACTAATATCAGGTATTTATGTGTTTACCTCAAGCTGATGGGCTCTTTCCTTAGAAGAGCGAAGGCTGTAAATAAATCAAAGTACAAAAAATAAAAGTAAAATAAGTGTGCGCACTCGTACAACCTACTTATTTCACCCTTTTTAAAATTTGTTATGTCCTCTCCTGATTGATTGTTTGTCTTTCAGTTGAATTATACAAGGTGCATGTCAAAATAAAAGTAGGAAAAGTGTTAAAATGATTGAGCCTGGTCGTGGATTTGAACTCCACAGAAACGTGGCATTTTAACAGGAGAATTTAAACTTCTTACTGTAAAGCACAAGTATGCAGATGTTGGGATGTAACTGGTGGAAGTTATAGACATAAAAAATAAATTTAATTTAAAGCACCGGCTGTTACTCAGTTTCTGCAAATCTGAGAGAAAAATGTAAAAGAAAGGAAACATTGCACCTAAAATAAAAGAAAAGGATGAAGACAATCTGTAAAATTTGTACATTTAAAAAGTTGAGTAAATGTTTGAACTCGTAGCTGGAAATCCAAATACTTTTACTTTGTAAAGTCCACTGAAGCAAGTCTATAATTCTCTGATCCTCTGAGCTCCTTTTGTCTCCAGGTGGGTCCAAAGCCGGTGCTGATGATCCCAGATGACCAAAAGGTCATCGGCTCGTTTGACCTCAACCACTTTTCCGTTCGCATCATGTCCGTGGACTACCAGGCGTGCGGCCCGTGTCACAGCCCCCCCGCCTCACCTGGTCCCCGACTCAACTTCAGCGAGGACTCCAAAGTGATCCTGGGAGACTCGGCGGAGGACGCCTTTGCGTACGTTCATCACCTGACTCTGTACGACCTGGAAGCCCGGGGGATGGTGCGTCCCTTCTGCATGGCCTACGTGTGTTCGGATCAGACGAAGCTGATGGAGAACTTCTCCGAGCTGTCGGGGGCCTTCTCTCAGGCTTCTGACAGCCTCAAGACAGGAAACAGGCAGGCCTTCTCCACGGAGCTGCGCCGCAAACTACAAGAGCTCGAGTAAGATCTTCTTTGTCTTTAGTTTTAATTTTTGTTTTGGGGGAGGGGTAGCGCAGAGGTTAGAGAAGATGGTCCTGTGATCAGAAAGTCGCAGGTTCACCTCCCAGTACCGTCAACATCAAAATGTGGGTGGAAAAGGTGAAACACCCACACCTGCCTCCACCCTCCTTCGCCCCACTCTGGGCCCCTGAGCAAGGCCCTTAACCCCCACCATCTGCTCCCTAAACAGGTCTCTCTTGAAAATGAGTTTTCGTGGCTCAATGAGACTACCTGGATAAATAAAGGTTAAATAAAAATAAAAAAAAAATAAAAAACTTTGTTTTTGAATAAATGTATAATTTACAGTGCAGACTGAGTGTATTGTGACAAGTTTTTATTCTTCAGCCTCTTTGCTTCAGCACATTCAATTTAAAATGCGTACACTAGTCCCTCGATACGTTGCAGGTCAACTTACGCGGACTCACTCACAGGTTTTCAATGGAAGACAACACATGAATGGCTGATTGATGGAAGGTGACCAACCAGAGTGTTGTGCTGAGGGACGGACTAGCTATTGGGAGCACCGGGACATTTCCTGGTGGCCTGGCCCACTCAGTGATCGCAGAGGGACCCCCTCCTTTCTCCTTCTGAGGCTGTCAGTCACAGCAGAGCAACTTTTCTACCCACATTTTGATGTTGATGGTACTGGGAGTTGAACCTGCGACTTCCTGATCACAGGCCCATCTTCTCTAACCTCTTTGCCAATACTCCCCCACAAGTCCCCCTAGGTGATCACCGAGCAAGCCAGGCCACCGGGAAATGTCCCGGTGCTCCCGATGGCCAGCCCGCCCCCATGACTGGCTCGGTAACCGTAGCATCAGTCTGTCGGCTCCCTTTCGTTGAGCTCTTTAAGAACATTTAAAGAGTTTAGAACATTGTTAAGAACATTGCAAGCATGTGGGAAATGTTTATAAAGCCTTAATATATATATAAATACTAAAATAAATGTAACATCCCTACTTGGCAGATTTTCACCTATCGCAGGGTGTGTGGAACGTAACCCCGTGATAAGTGAAGGACTACTGTAAACGTGTCAACACTACAGCAGTGGGGTTCGCCAAAGATTTTCTCGAACATATATGAAGTTCATGGCAAAACCCAACGCAGACATGTTCCTGTTTTTAGCATTTTACATCGCTTTATAATGTAGCTGTTTTTTTAAAATATATCATTACTTCTATTTTTCATTTTATATGCTTTTCATATGATTGTCTATTGTTATCTGTACCTCATCTGTGTTCTTTGTTTAAATCAGGTCTCTCTTGTAAATGAGTCCTCGAGGCTCAGTGAGACTAACCTGTCTAAATAAAGGTTGAATGAAGGAGTTCTCTGACAGCTTCCTTCTGTGGAGAGAAGCCCTCACGCCAAATGACTGTAAATTATAGAAAAACGACACCACCTAATGTGAGATGTTCAGTAATTCATCCAGGTCCAGAATTGTTTGGATCTGGATCTGCAGCATGGCGACTTGTGATTGCTACATTAGATCCTAACTTTGTTTCCAGTGAATGACTTTCTCATTTTCCAGAGAAGACTCAGGGAATTTAAACACTGATCGCTGGTTCAAAGACCATCTTTCTGAGATTTTGGCAGTGATGTGCACTCGAGTCAGACTCGAGTTGGTAATACAGTACTTAGTGTCATCTCTGAATGTGACTCTGAACGCCACTTAAGATGCTAAATTCTGAGCGTTTGGTGTGATTGAAAAATCTCCTGGAATTTCAAGGAAAAATCAGGGAATTTAGTTTTTATGAAATGCTGGGAACCTTGATTTGAGTGGGTTTGTCTGGATATTTAAAATGAACTTTGAGAGGAATAAATCCTTTATATCCCAAGTACATGTGAAGTTTTTTGTTGAGTTGTGTTGACTTACGATACAAAGATGTAACCATAAAGCTGTAGTGGAAAATGACGATGCTCACAGGTAGAAGATGTTCAGTGGAGAAAGGTCGGTGTTGGTTGGTCAGCATAAAGCAGCACAGAAGATAAAAACAGCAAATGAGGTGATTGGCTGAGAAAAATGACTACTTTAAATAAATTAAACATTGCTTTATGGTCAAGAAAACAAAAGGCCTTAAAACTTCAGAGTCAATGATTTCTCTCCTCGGTTGTTTCAGGTTCAGATGGTTGACTTTGCTGCAGGAGACAGAAGTCCAGAGGTCTAAGAGTGAATCCACTGAAGCTGAAGAGAAACCTGATGAGCTGAAATCTTTAGAGCTCTCCGTCTTCACTCACAGAGAGCTCCTTCGTCAGGTCACATCCTACCCCAACAGGAAGCTCAAACAGCCTGACTTCCTGCCGTATGACCTGGCTGACCCCCTCGCGGATCTGACTTGGTTACAGCCTCCTGAGCTCTACTCCTCCCCCTCCTCCTCCTCCTCCTCCTGCAGGTCGGAGCACCATCTGAAGTCGCTGGAGGAGCTCTGCAACTCCTACTTCCTGTCTCTGATGAAGGAGCAGCTCGTTGATGCTGAGCGGCGCCTGCGTGGGGACCGGAGCGTCCTGCAAACGGCTCGTATCACACATTCGCTCTCCAGGAGGCTGAAGCTCACAAACTTCCTGTTCGAGCTGTGGAGCCCCGGGGATGCGGAGGAGGGAGAGGAGGCGAACGGTGCTGAGGTGGAGCCACAGGGCGTCTCGGGGAGCAAGGAGGAGGTTGAGTCCAAACCTCGGAACGTGGAGTCAGTCCTCTCCTGTGTGGAGGAGATACCCATCAAACTGGAGGCGGGAGAGGTGAGGACGGTGACCTCTGACCCCTGCCCTGCTGCAGAGATGTCGGGGAGCGTGAGCAGCGGGGACAGCATCGAAGTCTTGGGGACTGAGAAGTCTTATCGGACGCAGCAGGTGGTTTACGGGTCAGATGGCAGAGGTACGTCTTCACTGTGGGGGGGGGGGGGGGGGTGTTAAACAGTTTGACATTTTGTCATTAATGAAAGAAAATAAGACGGTTCAGACGTTTGTTCTGTGGTGTCTCACAGACTGATAGTATCAAGACTTTTACACCAGAAGCAGTGATTAAAAAAAAAAAAGAAGCAAATATTTATGAATGATTTAAATCTTAGCACCATTTTCTAACTGAACAGCAGATGATGTGGCAGCAACAGATTTAATTAAACATTAGCAATCCTAAAAACAATGCATATCGACCGTCCACTGCCTTTTATACCAGAGTTTTGTGCTGAGAAATTCAGAAAATAAAATTATGTACATTCAGAATCACAACCAACCTTTATTGTCCTTGCACAGAAGCACAACAAAATAACATTTCAGTACAGCCGTCCAAAGAAAACAACATGGGTAGACGGGGGTGCCTGAGGCTGCAGCCTCGTGTGAAGCGCTGCCCTTTTCGTTTGGATAAGGAAAAGGGAAAACATGAGGAAAGGGGAGGTATAAAAAAAAAACCTTAGCACAAGAAAAAGCAACTTACTGGGAACATAAAGGAGGCCAGTGAAGGTGGTGAATTTAAAGGTTCTCAGGACAAAGAGCAGAGCAGGGAAGGAGCAGGAGGGAAAAGCGTCCGCTTTCGCCAAGAGCAAGAAAAACAAATGCACTGTACTTATATAGCGCTTTTCTATCTTATCAAGATAAGAGAAGATATAACTTTACTGATCCTGCAGGAAATTATTGTGCCTGAGTTTCAATACAAAGGAAGACACTCAAAGCTCTTTACAACACAATCTGTGTCCTCATTTACCCATTCATACAGCACTCTACTAGATCTGTATAAACTAGTTGAACAAATCATTCTAAAGAGACTAATCAGTGATTTATCACATTCATACACTGATGGGACACACATCAGAGGCAATGAGGTGTTCAGTGTCTTGCTCACGGACACTTCAGCATGTGACTGCCGGTGGATTCAAACCCCCAACTCTTGCATTGGAGGACGACTGCTCTAACCACTCAGCCACAGCCGCCCCAAAAGCAAAAAATATATATTTTACAATATCAGGCGATGTCACAGTCAGATTATTTAATTGAACCTTTATTTATACAGATAATCTCATTGAGTCACGAGGACTCATTTATAAGAGAGACCTGTTTTTGGGAGCAGATGGCTTAACAGGCCAGAGTGGGGTAAATGAGGGTGGAGGCGGGTGTGGGTGTTTCACCTTTTCCAACCACATTTTTTATTTATTTTTATGTTGTCGGTCCGGGGAGTCGAACTGGCGACCTTCCAATCACAGGCCCACCTTCTCTAACCTCTACGCCACCACTCATCGCAGTACGTGTTGTGAATGACTCTCAGCTACTACCACGTCCAACTTTAGCTCAGAACCTGTAACACCGGATGAGTTACAGCCATTTAGGTGTTCTCTAAGATTAAGTGGCGGCCATCTTGAATTTGGTTGGCTCCAAAAGTTGAACTGCATTAGACGTTGATCTAATATTTCATTTTTATCCTGAAAGTTTCAGTAAAATCTGTTCAGTGGCTCATGAAATATTTTGCTAACAGACAGACCCAGGCAAAACCATTGTAGGTTTAAAACTGACTGTTAGTTAAATGTTTATTACTTGTAAAGGTTGCAGCTTGATTTTGTTTTTTTTTTTGTCCATAAATTGAAGAAAATGACCAACGATCGAAGCAAAACGTGAACAATGTCTGTTTTCGAGCATCTTTGACGAGATGAATGCTCAGATCAGCTGATCGTTCTCTCTCCTGCACAGAAACCCCTGTGGGGATGACGGATGTCTGCAGCCGGCGTCCAGCTGTGGATCCAAGCGTCATGCGTGTGCGAGTCCACGCCAGACGCTCCAACAGCGAGGACAGCATCGAAGTGCTCAGCACCACGGAGTCCATCTTCCCCGACGACCTCGTCGCCATCACAGAGGAAGAGGCAGAGCATCGTCCTCTGACCAACGGTTTCAAGAGCGACACTCTGACGGGGCGCAGCTCTGATGAGGAGAGGCCGAGGAGCGTCGCCGCGTCAGAGCATGACGGAGCGCCTCTGGACAGAGAGGAGGAGCCTTTAAAGGAAATTCAAGTCAAAGAAAGGAGAAATGGAGTCCAGGGAGACGCCACTGGAGAGAAAACACATGAGCAGGTGCCAGGTAACTACAGACACACTGAGAACGTCCCTCAAAAGTGTGCCCTCATTTTATCATCAGAATACTGAAAAAAAATCAATTTACCATTGATTATTTAATTAGCAAAAAGTTAGGGAGTCTGAGGGGCCTGCACCTTGTAGATGAAACATACTTAAATTTAGGATTATATTCATTAAATGTCTGCCATCTAGTGGTGATGGGTTGAAACAACATGTTCAACTTGTTTATTCAAATCAAATGTATTTATAGGACACACTTAGGAACGTCTGCTGTTGATTGAAGTGCAACACATGACAGCAGCTCAGCAACAAACACAACAAAGCTCAGCGTGTATTAAAAGCCAGCGAGTACAAATGTGATTTGAAAACACGACGAGTTGAAGCCTGTCTGATACGAAGAGGCAGCCGGTCTCACAGTTCCTTCAGAGGACGCAGCAGCTGCAGTTCTGTGCTAAACCATTAATCAAATATAATATAAATAAAGTCAAAGCGTCACTTTATGGAGTGCACGGGCTCAGATGTGCGGCTTCTTTAGTCTTGTGCTCCGGGATTAAAACACGTGGCCTCTGTAGTCCGGGGTTGTAGCAACCATCCGTGCACGTGATGGAAAAATACAGTGCACGTGGCCTCAACACCTCTGCAGTAAGCAGTGTGCTATGTTCATGTGACTGAATAGTACAGATATACATCTATAGATACAAATACTCAGGGGAACCTGCATGAAATCTGTTTGTTTTTGACAAGATTACATTAAAATATATTTTCCACAACTATTGCGCATATATATATATATATATATATATATATATATATATATATATATAAATAAATAACTTCACAGAACTTTGTGACCCTGATGAGGCCCATGTTTTTTTTTCACGCAGCTGAAGCAGCCGTGGAGTCGAGGTCAGGGCCTCGCCTTTTTGTCAACTTTGCCCCTCCTGCCGTCCTGACGGAGACCGGTCGGAGGTCTCCACCCTGCCCTCCTTTGAGGCTCCTGAGTGTAGACGAGACGTCTGACTGCACCAGCTTCACTGAATCTTCCAACCCACCCTCCCCCACTCGCCATCCCCACACCAACAAACAGCAGGTTATGAAGAGGAGGAGGAAGGCTGGGCTTCGGGCCCTCAGGTTCATCAAGCACCACTCGTTCTCCCAGCATGCCATCTTCTGTCTCCTGAGCGGGCGGCCCCTGGTTGTGGTTGGAGGAGACGGAGGTTTGGTAGCGAAGCTGGTGGACGCTCTCAGCGTCTACTTGCCTGCTCCCGGTCCTGATGGAAGTGCCGTGATGCCGTGTTTGACCACGCCCCTTCAGCTGACTGACCTGCTCACCTGGAGACTCATAGGAATACACAGGTGAGGCCAACTTCACCCAATTGTTTGTTTGTTTCACGTCCGTCAAAACGTGGACATACGGTAGTCTCCATACGTTCGTAAATTTCTCTTTTCCCGCTCATAACTTCTGGTCTGCTCAAGATAATTTAATGAAACTTAACACACACGCATGCATCATTACTAGCCAGTGTCACCCCAGCTCCAAGGTCAAGGTCACAAATCAAGGTCAAATGTTACAGAAGGTCCTTTGCTTGTCTGGGATATTGCTGTATAACAGTTGGTCGATGGGCGAATAACGTGCCATATGCAGCACTCTGTGTTTTTTCTTGGCACTTCCCATAAAACTCTTATTTTGGCTCCGTCTGCTCTGATTGGTCAGAAACCTGAGCATTGAAGACAGCTGCTGGTGCGAAACTCGCAAGTAGTACAAATATTTCTCAAAAGATTCACTTGTAGAGCAAAATCACCCTAATATACAAGAAGCAGGTAAGAAATGCATTAATAAACAAAGAAAATGTTGTTTTCCTGGAAGGATTTTTGATTTGTGTACTGGAATAAATTAATCCAGTTACTGCCGCAGTTACTTTTAATTCATATTTTAGATTATACTGTATCCTTCAATTATCTTTAACTGCTTCTTCCTTTTCAAGTGGCGGGAGTCACTGGTGCCCATATCCAGCAGTCACTGTGTGAGAGACGGGACACCCTGGACTGGTCTCCAGTCCATCACAGGGACACATAGAGACAAACAACCATTCACTCTCTCACTCACACCTAGTTCAAGTTAGAGCTGTGCAATTTTAGAAAATCTTGGGATTTCAGGATTATTGCAACTAAACTGCTCGTTTTCCAAAGTCGTTTTTTTCTTTTTCATTAATGTGATGATTCAACACGTTTCATGTGTTGTCACAAATGATTCACTACCGCTGCTCTTCAGGATAAGACCCAGCTGATCACTGACGTCTCAAGTATTAAGGAGGCTCCTTTGAAAACCATATTTTAGACAGAGAAAATGAATTGAAAGGGGTGGGGGGGTGAAAGAACCCATATACGTCAAACATGGGCTCAGGATTCAGTTTTGGCAGAACTTAAACGCTTTTTTGGATCCAATTCTCAGTCAGTTTCATATTTTAATGCACGTGAACAAACCTGTTCGTGCGAGGACCAGGCAAAGACCCTAATGACCCTCAGGAGGGAAGGGAGTAAGTCTAATCTGCATGTAAATTCACCTTGCACAACCGGAGCATCTCTTGCAACATTGTACCATTCCAGCCTGAACTGAGCAGACCTCTTCACGGTAAAGCAGAACTTCTCTCTTCACTGAGAATCTACGCGGTGGAACATTTCCCACGCTTAAAACGAGAATCCGTGTTTTCATGCACAAAACCGTTTCATTTCTTCATCTGCTGGGGGTTGCTCACTTTTTGCTCAACAGATAAAACGCAGCAAAAGACCACATTTGTTGTTCTCGTCCTCTTCAGATCGACCTCCGCTGTTCTTCATTCTCTGACTCCATACAGTCGTTATCTGGCTCTGCTGGACCTGGATCAGAGGACCCTGAGGTGCCCGCCGTACTCCGGCTCCCTCATCAACACGCTGGCCGATCCTCACGTGTGCATCAGACGAGGAACCACCTACCTGCTGCACCTGGAGAGCTGCCTGACTGCGCTGGCCAACAGAGCACTGCTGCACACTTTTCTACCTGCTCCACCTCCAGCCCCCGCAGCGGGGGGCACAGAGGAGCAGCTCCTGCGCACACACACATCCTGCAGCAGCGAAAGTGACTTTCGAGTGTTGCGCTTTCTGTCCGACCTCATTAAACAGCGCCACGCGGGACGTGGACCAGCGTTTTTAGGATTCTCCTACGGCTCATCGCATCTTCACAGAAACACGTCCCCAACGTAAGAGACTGCGTGAACAGGAGGTGAATTATTTTAGCACTTACAGAAATGCATGGGCTTTATTCTTAGAGCTCTGGTCTCATCATCAGCATGTCTGCGTAAAGGAAATTTTTTTTTTTTTTCTTCCTATAATGTGTTGAATTTTGCTGTTTTATATATCGGATTACAAAACATTTGTGCACTCGTGTCACTGATGCCAAAGACTGACGTTCATACAGTTTTATAACTAAAATTATAGGTACTTTAAACTATGTTTAATATTTAATCACATGTATCGTCCCTGGAGTTGAAAGGAATTCAGCCACACGTTTAAGGGAGCACAAAAAAAGTGACAGCACAGCACTGTGACCTGTGAATGTTTTAGATGATGTGCACTTCAAATGCTTGTTTTTCCAACAAAAAAAATGCTCTGGCACCAGTTCACCTGATAAAACTTCAGTTCAGTCAGAATATGAAGCCGAGGATGAATATACGAGTAGAATCACGCCGAGATGGAGACTCGGCAGTATTCCTGTTCATTTGAAGAGGTTTGTAACTTTAATGTCACTAAAAAAAACACTTCTTGTATTGAGCTCTAATTAATGTCCACACAGTAATTAAAAATTAAAGATTAATCTCACACGGTAACTTCAAAACATCAAAGTTCAGGCTCAATAATTCAGGTAAAAAAATCCAACAAAGTTCAGTCAGGTCATCTGATGGTTGCTTTTTTTGTTGTTGTTTTTGTTGTTGAGACGTTTCGTCCTTCATCAATCCGAAGAGCCACAAACGAACTTTGAGTCCCACAAGCAGCACGCTCCCATAGCGGACCAACCAGTTTGCTGTTTGTTGTGTTCTACTGTGGAAACTGTTGAATTGTTGTTGCATGGAGAGGGCGGTCCAAGACTGTTCGTAAAATATACGATGCTGCGAGCGGAGAGTGACGAGGAAGTGAGGAGAAACCGGAGAGAACTGAAGCTGCACGTGTCTGCTTATTTATCCTTTAATTGAACCTTGCAACCCACACAACACTGTTGAGAAGGTGGTTTCTGGGGGCCGCCCTCTCCCCCGTCCACTCCTCTGAAGCAGTCATATCCAAAGTGGTTCAAAACACCGAAGTTCATGCTCAATAATTCTTAACTTTGTTGGATTTTCTACCTGGATTATTGCGCATGAACTTTGATGTTTTGAACCACTTTGGCTATGGCTGCCTCAGAGGAGGAGAGGGCGGGCCCCAGAAACCATCTTATCACCAGCAAACTGGTTGGTCCACTATGGGAGTGTGCTGCTTGTGGGACTGAGTTTGTTTGTGACTCCTCGGACTGATGAAGTCCTTTGGATAAAGGACGACTTGTCCAGATGACCTGATTGAACTTTGTTGCGTTAACTTCAATGTTGAACTGATTTACTTTCGCTCCAAAGCTTTTGTATTATACGCTAAATGTTTTTTTTTTTTTACAGAAGCGACTCATAATAAAAAGTAATCCTTAATTTCTAAATAAGACTTACTACCTCACATATTTCTAACTTAAATCTGACTTGTTGGAAACTTCACGTTAAAGAAAAATTAAGAACTTTTAGTCCAGCTGTCAGAAAATCAAACTGACACTGTGCTGCTTTTATACATTTATACAAAATACAGGTTTTAGTATAATTTTCTTTCTACTGTAGTCAGTGATGCATTTTCACAATAATGGCCCCGAGGCGTTAACACGTCGTCACACTGCTGCAACATTCATGTGTCTGTGGGGATTTGAACATAATAAGAAACTTTGTCCAAACTAAAAAAACAACAGAATTTCAATGGCTTTATAAGTTAGTGATGTCTGGATATGTGTTATTTACTTTGATTGTTTTTTTTTCCTTTGGCATAAAAAGTCAGAAGCTAAATATTAAACTGATGATTTTCCTCAGTAGTCTGTAAAACATTTCTGAATATCACACACGCATCATCCAGTGTAAAATGCAACTAACGATCAGTGACTGTAAGTTTTAGTGTTTTACGCAGAAATGATATAAAAATGACAAATGCATAACTTTTAACTTTCACTGCAAGTAACAAAAACTAGCAGGCCATGGGATATGCTGTAATTAAACATACTTTAATGTCTTTTAATCTCCAAACTGCAATATGCGTCAGAAAAATACCCCCCCCCCCATGACACTGTACCGTCAGATGATTTGGTTTATGCTTTAAACTAATTATTTTTATTGTGTGGATGCTGTTAAAAATGTTAAAATAAAGACGTATTTTACACTCCTGTCTAAGCAATGATTCACCAAATAATAAGAATAATAAAAAACATTTTTAATTTCTTTTATTCAGTCAAAGAAGTTCAAAGGGTAATGAGAGAACATATAAAATTGAAGTAATACTTACAAAATATATTTGACAAAGTCTTAAATGTTCAATAAACAAAAAGGAATCACAGTTTAGATTTATTAGAGGGACCATTAACGCAAAGATCAAGTCTGGAAAAGATGAACCATGTCGAGTTTCCTTAGAAGCAAACAAAATGTTGACACCTGGTTTGTGTAGGAAACATATGGCTGCAACCATAGGAGTTCATCAACACATGGTTGCAACCATAGGAGTTCATCAACACATGGCTGCAACCATAGGAGTTC